AATAGGGCACGGGGTGTGCGGGTGGCTGAGGAGGGCTCGGGGGGTTGAAGCCCCCTCCCCTGTCGTGACAGGGCCGAGGAGGGGGAGGTGGAGCCCGTGAGGGGAGTGGGGGGACCCTCCGGAAGTGTCTGGGGGCAAGGGAGGAGGCGAGAGGGGGTTTTCCCGCACGACAAAATATTTTGACCCTTTTCCCCTCAGGGTTATCAGGTTAAAAAAAAATTAAAAATCACGACAAGTTGAGCGTGTCCAGGTCTCCTCACGCCCGCTGCCATCACGCCGGCCTTGGGGACTCCCTTTCCACAGGCCTTTCCCTCCAGAAAGCCCTCGCAGCCTTCCCCTGGCCCACCCGCGCGAGTATCTACCGCTGTGAAAGCTCGCCTTGGAAATTCTCCTTCTCATTTTTTGGAGTAAATGACACACAAACTGCTCCTGTTAGGCCTTCCTGTTGGTGGGACATGAGTTGTCCCCATGGCTTTGCCATGGTCGGTGTCTTGGTTGGGCAACTCAGCTCACCCTTCGCGGTTTCTCCCAATGATCTGTCACTGTCATGTTGTGGTGTCAATGAACATAAACCTCGACAAGTTCATAAAACTGCGGAGTTGAAGCGCCGCTGATTTTAAAGCTCGTTGCTCCTCGTGAGACTAGGGCACTCTTTCTATAGAATCTCGGCAAGAGTTAATTTTAAAGCAGTGTGACCTTTATAATCACTACATTTAATGCCAGCTGTACCTCTCCTCCCTAGCTGGACATATCCTTTAACCTTTGTTTAGTTTTCTTCCATTGTTTGTTCCTTTTTTTTCACACCTAGATAATAAAATTGCTCCTGTTTGGGGCTTTGCTGTATCTTTTATCTTTCTCCATTCTGCCAGGCTCACATCTGGCTTTTCATCCTGTTTTCAAATGAGTTTGTTATTGGGTCTTTCATTTTTTTTTAAATTTCCAGTTAATTAAATTAAAAGCTTAGCTTTTGCTTTGTTCTTTTCCTTAAAATGATTTATTTAGGCCTCTCTGCTTATTTTTAGACAGTTTTCTGTGCTGATGAGTGATGTGGAAATACATAATGTGATTTTTTGTTTTATCCAAGCAGAGCTTATTCCTGTTGAAAACAATACATAGGAAAATACTTGCATCAACCTGTTCCTCAGTGGCATCTGATAAAAAGGCCATTGCTCCCATTTCGGGGAGTCTTAAAAGGCCTTATGTATGCATATCCTTGCTCTTAATCATAATTCTCTCCTGGATTCCTTGTTATTTTAGACAAGCATATGAGAAGCCGTAGGTATTGTACTGTTTCTTATTTTGTGTTTGAGCTTGTTATTTCACCCGCACGCTAATGGTGATGATACGGGTACATCAGTAAGTCTGGAAGAGATGCGTTCTTACTGAGCGGAGTGCAGTATGGTAACCTTGTAATTAATGGTAAACAGCACGTGGGATTTCTGGGCCCACGCTGTGGGTTGATTTTTACATGGTCTTGGGGAGTGAGCAGTAGCACATTGCTTCAGCCAGTCTTTGATCCTATTTCTTGCCATCTTCCCTACAAAAAAAAAAAAAAGAAAGATTTCTCATATTTTGCTCTACTTGCCAATCCCTGGGTCATGCAAACCTGTTATGAAGATTGGCATAACAGTGAAAGTGGTGAGATATGACTGTAAGTGTAGTTTTCTAGGCTATTTTTCTTTTATATCCTTGGCGAAATGTTCTAGGTAGAAACAACTTCCATTTATCAACAGTTAGCTTGCAGACGTGCTGAAGTCCTTTGATGCTTTTACCTTGAACCTCTTTGTTTTTAGCTCTTTATCAGTATCAGAAACTAGCTACAAGGATAAGGGAAAAAAAGTAATCTGAAGGGCAAGGCAGCCATGAGTGACAAGCACAAACTGGTTTTTGGAAAAAAAGCTCAGAAACTGCAGAATATATTAAAAGAAAGTTCAGGGGCCTTGAACTTTTTTTTTCCCCCCTTATCTTGATTGAAGTCAGTGCATCTGAGGTTTAGAAGAAGAAAGTTTAAAATTTCTAGATTAGGAGGTAATGTCAGGCATGTGGAGGTGGCTGTTGGAAATGAGAGAATGGAGTTGATTTCAGGCATATACCAAATGTATAGTACATGGAAGAATCTAAGAAGGGCATTAAAAATAGGTTGCTCTATAACGTGATTTTTGAGAGTGGTTTTAAAATTAATCATCTTTGTTAGACGTTAATTTTACAGTTAATATATACACACATGCAGCAAAACCAAACCTTTAAAGATCCATAATATTTGTCAGTACCTCCAGATGGCTGGGTCAAGCAGAGGAAGAGGACGTGCTGCGTTTACCTTCAACATTGAGGCAATTGGCTTTGCTAAAGGTGCAGCTCTCCCTGATGTCATCTGCAAGCCCCCACCACCGTTTCCTGTAAGTGCAGCAAGTACCCGAGAGCACACTGTGCTCGTAAATGTGTATTCACTCTCGCATTTAGATAATATAATAAAATACGTGAACAACCCTAAGCACTCTAGGTCAGTGTCGAAATATGTAGTATAAATCATTGTTTTTCTTATTATTAAATCCTGCCACTTTGCTGACTGTTGCATCCTGTATTTAGCTACATTGTTGGCAGGATGTTAGTTTGTTAAAGTCCTCGTCATGATTTGGTTTGCTGGATGCTATAGTAATGGAAACACTGGATATCTGAATTTGTTTGAAATGAAGTTATACTAGTCTTTGAAGCTGTGAAGAGATTTGCTGGTTTTAGCTGTTGACAATGCAAGCATAAAAGATTTTGGATTATTATCTTGTACTTCAGTAGCCAGCATTTGAAAATAATTTGCAAGTAACTGAATGATATTTTATGTAATTAAGGAAGCTTAATTGAGATATGGCATTTGGGACATTTGAGAATTAAAGAGCAAGAAAGAGCTTTTTCTGACTGCGTTTTGCGATGCAAGGAAGCTTGGACAGTTTTGAGGTGGAAAACTAGTCTTACAACGTTGCAGTTTTATGTGAGAGAACTTCCCAGTTGCACTAGGATTCGATCAAGGTGCATGAGAGTTTTCTGCCTCATGTCACGATACAGAACTTAAAAAGCTTGACATCTGAGTTTTCTCTGAACAGTTAATTCAGCCAAGGTCTTGACTTACTGAAGTAGATGTTGTACATCGTCGTAGTCCACTGTTACAATCAACTTGTGTGATTGCATTGGTAGTAAACCCACCTGCAGGTCTTCCTAATGTGAATGTTGCAGTCTGGTTGATAGCACCAAAAAACTGAATTCTCTGTGACCTACAGCTTCTAGATTTAATCAGCCTTGTAGAAGAATTCCTAGCTCCAGTATATACCATGTATATCGTACAGAAGCCAAGGATGCTTTCTTCCTTCTAGTTTCAGAACTCAGGTTAGCAGAAATCTAGTGACATTTAGAATAATCAAAGTTAAGCCAGTGGCAGAACTGGGATTGATAAAAAAAATATCAGGAGTTAGATTGAATAATTAGGCAGTAACCAAAAGTGAATTACAGCAGTTGGCTGGCTTACAGTGAGATTGATTTAAGCAGTGAAGTTTTGCTATTGTGTATTTCAAACAGACATGTTCTGAGTTCTTACAAATCTCCTGTAAAGGAAAAAAAAAAAGTTAGGGGGCACCAGCTTACCATCAGCAACATCAGTGATTTAAAGTGTTGGCCAGCTAGCAGATATAGCTGGAAGCATTAAAAAATCATCTCGTGATCCAGCCCTGGGACTTGTGATGGCACTTGGTGATTTGCAAACTATTGCTCAGGTATTGGTGTGTGAAGCACTTGACATCCATTCTGTAATTCCGTCTCTAATGTTCTATTTTTCAAACTGTCTTATTTGCCTTTCCCAATTTCACGGTTCATAGTTTAAAAAAAAACAAAACAAACCAAACTTAATTAATTTAAATTCAACTGACAGAAACCAAATCCTATGAGGGCCTGTGTGCTACCCGTTTGTATGACAGCACAACCTGTTTCCGTGGCAGTAGTCAGAGAATCATGAAATCACTTAAGTTGGACCTTTTAACATCATTTGAAAGGGTATCCATGTTATTCAGAATAATCATACTTCATGTAGTTAAAACACTTTTAGAAGAGTTTAGGGGTGGTGCTACTCTGACTGAAGAGAAAAGCAATGGTTTATAAGTTCGGCTGGTGTCAAAAACTGTTTTTGTCAATTAAGAGCTTAGTGTGACACTGCGTGACTGTTTCACAGTTTTAATGTGTTTTTCTGCTTGATTTCTTGTTATGTTGTTGGAGAAGGATATAGCAAAGTTGTAATGGGTATAAATTTAGTTGTAAACATAGTTATGCATGTCAGAATTGCGAGCAGCGTAACACATAGTTGCGCTCTTCTGTGATGAGCTGTGTTTATTGTAGCTTTTGTTAGTGTTCCTGTATATTTGATGGATATTAAGCCTTTTTGAATAATAAACATAATTTGTACAGAGTACAGACAATAAGCCAGTGCCTCTGAAAACAGGAGAAGATGAAGATTACATGTTGGCCTTAAAACAAGATCTTAGAGGAACTATGAAAAAAATGCCATATTTTTTGACAGTAGAAGAAGATCATGAAGGTTTGTTTGTGCGCTTTTTATTTTTATTTATATCTTCAACAGTTACTGTTCTGTGAAGGATGATGTAGTGAGGTCCATGTTGAAGATGTATTTTCTACTGATAATGAGGAATAAAAATTGGCAGCTTAAGATAATAGGGTATCTTTCTGCTTTTACACTTACTGAGGTTGTAGGTCACACCTACAAGTGCTGTAACTGTAAAGCAAGTACTGTGTGAAAAGGAGAGGTATCAAACACCTATTCCATTTGATAGACAATAAGAAACATTTAGACCAACCATATACAGTCTTCTTAGTTAAATGCTAACCAATGCAAATTAAATAGGCATTTCTACCTGTTAAAATGCCCTAGAAATTTTGCAGGGAGCAAATGAATCTGTTGTAGATACTAGTGTTGACATTTAGCTTCCATTTTAATTATGGAAAGACATACTTAAATTGATCAGTGTTACATTTAATAGCCAGACGTGCTGAAAGGTACTAGTTCTAGGTACTGATGGTTCTTTAGCCCATTCAGAGGAGTTCAATAATTATTATTAGTCACCTGAAATATCAAGACTGAGGTGAGGATAAGTGATTTACTGAGGTTTATATCAGAAGCAGAGCTGGATTAGAAACCAAAGTTTGATCTTATTCTGTTTGACCTAAGAATGTCTTTTACTTTTTCATAATTAAAAAATGAACCGCTTTGTTACTGATTGATAACCCTAAATGCTCTGCTATATTTGACATCTGGTCATACATCATTAAATGCTTAAAATTCAGTCTTCCTGGTCAGAACACTGAGCTAGCAGGAAAGAAGGAAAAGGGGAGTAAATTAGGAAGACTTTAATGTCTGTTTACATTGTTGTGGGGGGTATTGTGAATCTAGGAGTCACAGGAGGTTATTACTGTGAGGAGTGTTTCCTTTCATTTGTGATTTTTCCCTAGTTCTGTCGTCCTGCTGAGTGCTTGCTCTGAATGGCATAAATGGCAAGTGAAAATATAAATGGCAAGGGAAAAGAGGAAATGCTGTATCTGTCGGGACTCTAGGCCCAGTTGGTGCAATAGGCAGTCACTAAAAAGATTTATAAAATTATCTAAGTCCAGAGTGGCCAAACGCTAGACAATCTTTTCCTTGCTACCTTGTGCTGATTTTGAATAATGAACTCTAAAATGTGAGGTTCAATTTCCATCTGAAAAACATCAGCATATATTCTTACTGAATATTCATGATATTGATAGGATACAGGTACATTGTTTGATCCTTTCTGACTTTTTGGTCATTTTTGTTCGTGGTGTAGTAGTGAATTCTAAAACTTTTTGAGACTGCATGTAATTCTATTTTTTGAATGTAGGGCAGCACAAGTACTGCCCAGGGTGGACCCGGATGGTGCAGCCAGGTAAAACCTTGGGTATGAGGCAGAGAGAGCAGGTCTGAAATTCATTTCTAGATCCCTTTATGATGGCGGCAGTCCAAATTATTCTTTTATCATGTCTCGTCTTTCATCTTCTGAGTAAACAAATTTCAGTCTCTTTGGAATGTTGTCTCACTAGCAGCTTCCCGTGCTCTTGATCTTTGTCAGCCTTGAAGTTTGCTGTTTGAGTTTGAGGCACAAAAAAGGAAACTGCTGTGCCTGAGAGGCAGTTCCTATTTCCAAGGAACCAGGCACCTTATGAGAACGTATGATCTCTCTTTTCCAGGTCTAGCTCGTGTGATGATTGTTCTTACCGTTCACCTCAAAATTGTCTGTGTCTCTGCAACATTCTTTCTGAGATGGAGTGAACTCTCTCTGTTGCTGAGCGTGCTCTTTATCAGAGTTGCCAGCTTTGAAGACTGTTTTTACGCAAAAAACCTGGCAGTTGCAGGGAAGGAAGGCAGACAGCCACTTGATAGACTCAAATAATGCTTCACATGTTATCATAATCTCCCCAAGGGTAAGCTGGTAAATTGAGGTGACTTCACGGAAGGTTTAGTTGTACAAAAATGCCTCAGCTGAGGGGTGGGGTATAATTACACCAGGGGTGGTCTGTGGCTTAAAAAGCTTGCTTTCCTATCAGTCACAGTATGCAGTTGTTTCTGGGACTGCATTGTTTGGCAGAAGTGGCCTAGCTTTAAGAAAATCACTTTTCTTTCCCCAGCGTAGATTATTTTTAACTGATCTTTTCTGCTGTTTGGTTTACAGCCCTTTGCTCTCCTGTATTTCATCAAAACATCTGGCAGGACCTAGAGAGAGGCAGGAGGAGGACTGTGGGCAGGAACTTCTTAAATTGGCTTTGCTGTAAGAGCAAATGGATTGTTTTAAGCTGCGGGCGCAACATCTGCAAGCCAAATGGCCTTTGGAAGTGTGAGAAGGGAAAGATTTTAGTTAGTTAGGACATAGCTAGCTCTCTTTCATTATTCAAGTAGTAAATGAAAGGCACATCTAATATGCTTGGCAATTTTGATGCATTAGCGTGCCATGTAGAGTATTTCAATGCTCATGTGGAGTGAGTAGCAGGCATATTCTATAGTAAGGTCTCTGTTTTCCTCACTTCATAAGCTATGAATTATTTATATTTTTCCTGTAGGTATATCTGCTATGACTGTCATCTTGGCAGTCGTTTGGAATTAATTCATTAGCTCCAAGTGGCAAGGGTCAGTCAGATATGGTTTTTACTAATGGCATGAGCAATTAATTCTTTGCTAAAAAACCTCGAGCTGAAATCAAAACTGGTAGTTCTTTTCCCTCTCTATGCTGGCAGTTTCCTACAGCATCAGTGAAGGCTGCCTACACTAAATGCCCCTTGAGACACTGTCATTTTAAATGCAGGCTCTTTATTGCACAGTTTAAAGTAGGTCTTCTGCTTGCCCTCATCATAACAAAGTTTAAAATCGAGCTCAATTTCTATTATCTTCCTTCTTCCTTTTCTCTGGTGAGTACATTACAAGTCTTTTGACTGTAAAAGGTCACAACCTGTCTTTGTTACTCCTTTTTGTACAATACCCACAAAAATTATCCCTGTTTGGGTAATGAGTTATTGCTGCAATCAGAATCAGTGATTTTGCATTAAGTGGATTTTGCAGTTGGGCATGGGAATCTGGCAGGAGAAATGGGACTAATTTAAAAGTACTTACATTTTGGATATTGCTTCTTTTATTAGAGATTGTACAAGAAAGGTTTTTTTGTAGTATAAATGGAAGTACTTACACTGTATAAATACTGTGTGATTTCCAATGAATTTCTCAGTTTAGTTCTTGTGCCTGGAAAGAGGTTAAATGGGCTGAAATATGTTGCTGCCATTTAGGACATGTCTCGTTAGGCTGCAAAGCTTTGCCATTGCAGAAGTACTTAAAATCTGGGGAGTTAATTGTGATTAGTCTAAGATGCAGCCTTCTGAGAGCTGGGAGTTCTTGATGCTCTTTACGATTTGCACGGTGTCAGTAAATGTTACTGCCTGGTTTTGCAGTGAAGGTTTGATTATGAAACTGTTGAAGAGTGGAAGAGTTAGTGTTCATTTGAAGTTTCAACCTAGTTTTGCTGACAGTACGTGCATTTTATGTCTTCATGCTTTTCAAGGGTGGAAGTATAAATCTTAGTACCTTTGGAGGTTGGTTGTTTTCTGTGTTTTGATTGGAAGGAAATACCTCTAAAATGCAAACCAGTATTAGGGGGTTTTGCCTTTTTTGGGAGGATATAAAATCCATGACTTGCAAGCGATTATTCCTGGGAACTGTCATGAGAACTGCTCCAAGTAGTGACATTAAACTGTGGGGTCTTTAAGTGTTTGATAACAGCACAAGAAAGTGTTCAGTGTAGGATTAAAAAAATACACTGTGTGTTTAGAAAAATACCAAGGACAGTGTCTTGATTACCTCTTTCATTAACTGAATACAATAATTCTTTGTATCCTTCTCTGCAGCAATTGAGAGATACAGTAAAAAGTACCAAGACAGTGAGAAGGAGCATGCAGCATGGACCCCAGGTAATATCTGAGGTTATCAAAAGCTAATTATATTATTAACCTGTGATTTAAGTGTTTGATTCGTTATTTTTCAAGCAATAAAAAAGAAGGCAAATCCTACAAAGTTATGCATTCCTTGTTGAGGGCTATGTCCTTGCATGTTTTCAGATCAAGCTAAAGTATTGTTATCTCAAAAAAAAGGGGAAAAAATGAAAAAAAGATACTTTTTTACTCGGTTGAAACAGCTGATTTGCAGAAAAAATGCAAGCAGGCTCTCAGTCTAAGTTTCCTTCTTCCTTACTCGCCATGCAGATACCAGTTTTGAACTGGAAGCAAACAATATTTCTAAAAATAGCCCAACATAATCACAGATAGCTTGGTTTTATAACACTAAACTTATCTGTATAGCTCACTACTGCAAACAATTATAGAATGTAAGTTGAAGGGCATGTGAGCCACTGACAGGGCTGAACTTTGTTTCTTTGGGGAAGATCCCAGGGTGAAACACCAGGTCTCACTCCAGTTCCTCAATCTAAAGTACAGCTAGAATCCCCCAAAACTGTTGTGTGCTAAAATACTTCGGCATGCATGTAAATAGCATCAAGCATAAGCATAACAGGCACCCCTACCTTTCCTTGGTGAGTAGCAGGGCGAGGATTACAGCTGTAAATCATCATTTGTATATGTTAAAGCTATTTTCTGTACAGATTGGAGAAGACTCCCAAGAGAAATGAAGCCAAAGAAAAAGACCAAAAAAGGTATAGATATTTTAAGAAGCATTTCGTATGCACTAGTTGAGTAGGGGAAGACATACTGGAACTGGTTAGGGGGGAAAAAATGGTAGAAATTTTAATTAGTCAAAATAATCAGGGCTTTTGGCAGATTTTTCCTAAGTAATTTAGTAGTCTGCCTGCCTTCTCTTGTTTTTGCTTTGCTTCTGTATAATATTTTAACTTACTGAAAGATTTATCAGATTCATCTTCCTTTCCTGCTTTTTGTATTGATGTACCATATTAACATCTGAGATGCGTAACAGTGAAAGATTTAAATAAACATAAATTTTTGTTTTGAAAGTTTGTTATCTTTAGTTAACATCACGCTTCTTCTATTCAATGAATACCTGGCTGGTCAGACTTCCTTTATATTTTAGGTTTCTCAGTTATGTTGTTTATGATTTGGTTGACTTTTTTATTTTTTTTAAGATGTTTATATGTGATTTAATATAGGTTATTTTCTATTTTCCCTGGGTTTACTTTTTTTGTTTATTTTCAGCTTTCTTCTGCAGAATTGTGAACCAGATCCTTCAACAGCAGTTGGAGCTGGTATTGGTTGTTCTTACAGGAAAAAACTTCTTTTGTTACACAGCATCATATGTGTGCTTGTTCTTCAAAGTATTTTCTAGTGTGCATGACTTTAAGTTCTCTGTAGAAGTCTGTTGCTCTGTTGATGTGAATTAGCAGTTGGCCTCCTATATCTAGCTGTCTGTTATATATAGTTGTTTACTTTCTTGTTCTCTTTGTCCAAGTCCTTTATGTGTCATATTTTTCAGTTCAAGGATAAAGTAGAAAAGGAAAAGGGAATGTGCAGTAGTCATGGAAACTGGCTCAGCTGGCAGCTTTGTTCCTTTTAAGAGCATCATTAAGCATGGTACTAAAGGTAGACTGCAAGATTCAACAGAAAATTAAACACTGATATGCAAAGTATCTAAAGATGGACCCAGGACAAATGTACTTGATTTTGTTTGTTGTTCTTATTTTCCAGAAGAAACTGCATTGGCTTTTATAAGCCTGTACACAATAATCTCCCAAAATTATCTCCCCAAGATCCAATGAAATCGTAACTGTCAATTTATTATTCCCTGTTACAATAACGTTGTGATCATAATATGCAAAGAGGGGAACACTGCTCACTATGGGGGATTCTTCCTCTTGCCAGTTTATTTGCTCTTAAAAGTACACTTTCTTACATTTTCTTACATAGCTGTAATGGCAAAGATCAGCTGACCATCAAATTTGATACCAAAAAAAAATGGGTTCCTCTAAAAACAAGAAGTAACGTAATTTTAGGTTTGGGGGGGAATCCTGATGACACAGAGGCCATACAAAAGTCAAATGGCTCAGGATGTTTGTAAGTAGCTGCTCAGTGACACTTTAGCCCTTCTGGTACATATCAGTGTTGTATTTTGAGGACAGTCATTTTACGTCACACTTTATAACCAAGTGGAACAAAGGTGAGAGATCCATGAGAACCTACATGGAAAAATAATAAAGATCAGATTGTATTCCATTGCACTTCTAAGCTACATGGATCATAGATGTAAGGAGCTATTTTTGTTCTCCTAGCTGTGGGTGAGCATCCCTAATTTTATGCTAAGCTGCAGAGATGCACAGCATTTACCGAAAGGTCTTGCATGTCCATTTTCATTTCCAGGCTGTTTGGTCTTACAGGCATTATCTCTAAAAGCCTGCAGGGAGTTGTGCAGAGATGGTAATTCTGAATCGCACTTACCACTTGTATTCCTTAAAAGCCTACTTCACTCTGGATATATTTGCTTTGATGCTGTTCATACGTTATTACAGAGCAGCTTGACTCCTCTCAGGTCGATGCAGCGCTTTTCTCACGTAATCCCTTCCTAGGCAAAACACTGATCTGAATGTTACCTATGACAAACACTTCTGACAAAATACCTTTGTCTTCTTAGCAGCCCGCAGTGTTCTACTTCTTTAAATCTTAAGCCAGATAAAATACACAACAATAAAATAGATTGGGTTACTTTCTGCTTCAGAAGGGATATCCCCTCTATCAGTGCATGCTGTTTTTGCTTTTTGATACCACTTAGTGCAGCCCAGTGTAAAAAAAAAAGGTGCAAGTTACATAAGGTGGCTTGTCTGAGGCTACCTTGTCCATCAGAAGCTGCGTAGCTACACCAGCATGGCACACAGGCACTTTTACCTTGCTTCAGAGAGCTAATTTGTTTTAGGTAAATTTGTAAGAGGTAATTTTTATGTGGTGGTGCTGAGTGTAGCAGGAGAATTATATTGCAGAAATCGGGTGTCTCACAGAGCTCGCTAATTGCTCTGACATCTCTCACCCAGGTGCTCTTTTTTTCTCCTTATCTACAGGTCAAACTGCACTCTTGGAACTAGGGCAACCTTAGTTTAGGGTGCTGCAGTTCAGGTGCCTCTTAACCTCTGCTATTTTTGACCTTATAGTTAAGTAGCATGAGACTGGATTGTACAGAGTAACTTGGTAAAGATTATGTTCATGAATCCAGGAACAGTGGAAATATGCACTAAGGATTCATTAGATGAGAGCCAGCTGTGGTCCAAAAGTCCCAAAATCTAGCTGCTGTTACCATGCTTACTATGTTGGAGCTAATAAAACTGCTGCCTTTTTTTAACTCAGCTGTCATTAACATGTTGCATATATCAGTAACTAATGAGTTTTTATATTTTCAAAATGATCACACAGAGATGTTGAAGAAAAACAAATCAGATTTTGTTCTAGTTTCTGTGAGTATGTAGGTGAAAAGTATTTTCTGAAGCTGATGTCACGCTTTCGCCAGACCTTTGGCCAGCTGTAGGTTCAGAGTGAATTTCAGATTGGCCCTTTAGGCATGACTTACATAAATCTTGCAGTTACACTTCCATGAGTGATGTAGCTCAAAGTCTAAGGTAATTTTAGTACGGATGGTATGGGATTCCCATGGCATACTCAAGATGTAAGCTCATAAAGGCAAGTAAAAGAAGAATTGGTGTTCTTCCTTATTAAAAAGATAAGTTGTATTTTATTTCAGCAGGTGCAAAACCAAAAATGACAAAAAGCTCTCAGCCTAAAAGTAATCTGGATGTGTTGAAAAAAATTGAGGTAAGATGCACGTATTCTTTCTAAATTGTACAATAGAAATAGCTGAAGGAAAACAAAAACTTTAGTATGTTTTTTTGGTACAAATGGAATAACCAGAGTAGCCTAGTTGTGAACAGCAGAGCTACAATTAGAGTTTATTGAAGGAGGAATTGGTGCCAGAGCTTTTAAATCTGTTGCTGCTTTGCCAGTCTACAGATGTTGAAAATTAAACAGTAGGTTCAGAGGGAAGAAATGTACATAAAGAAACTTAGGAGGGAAGTGACCTCGGTTTTGGAGGCAACTACCGTATGGATGGAAAGCTCAAAGGAGAAACAGCCCTGTATTTTAATTCTTTGTGACCCATCAGTTGTTTGGTGCAGATAACATTATTATATGCAGTATGTGATATTGCTTTATCAAGTATGATGTGGCCTTACTACTACTACTGTCAATTAACTCTGACAGTGGATGGTGAAATCATCTTGATTTATTACAGAAGACACAATTTTTTAGGCTTCAAGTCCAGTAGCTAATGCTTGATCAAGTAACTCGTTATGAAGTTCTTGTGCTTCACATCATGTTGTTATAAATACTGACAGAAAACATTTGTACAGCAGTGTTATGCTAGTTGTCTTGATGTTACTGCAACATAACATTTTGGTAGCCTGGAGGATATGCTGCTGCTGTAATGCAGGATTACCTTGTAAAGGAGATTGCCTTGTGACAGGAGTTGGAAAAGAAGGATGACGAAGAAGAAAAATCTGAAGATGAGAAAGACAAAACAAAAGACAAAGAAGGTGAAGATGACGAAGAAGCAGAAGAGCCAGAGGAATATGATGAAGAGGAGCATGAGGAGGTACAATATTAGTTTTTCTGTTTCCACTTACTGAGTAGCAAGTTGGCTGTCAGCCAAGGAAATGTCCCTAGTTTCTCTTACGCTGGGGGAAGAGTTGTAGTAAGAGGCATTATTACATTTTCTTTCTTGCAGTGCGTTGTGTTTTAGTTAAGAGGGTGTTCTAGACTTTTTACTTCTGAAGAGCTGTGGAAAAAGATGTTGCAGGAGTTTGTCTGCCACAGTTAATAAGTGCACTTATTAATTTTTGTAATTGAAACAGTGGTGCCTCTTTTTCTCGTAGATACCAGAACTTTGTTGCAGTATTTTCCTTTTTCTTTTCCACAAAATAAGGAAAAAACCCCACCTCCTGTTACCATTTCAAAACATGGGTGCACGAGTGCAGTTTAAAGCATCGGGCTTTTTTTTCATAAATTGTGTCCTTCAAAGGTACAGTGATTATTTTTTCCTTTTGTTCAGGAAAATGACTACATTTCTTCATATTTTGAAGATGGAGATGACTTTGGTGCTGGCAGTGATGACAACATGGATGAAGCAACATACTAGCTTTCTGCAGTGGAACACTATTCCAGCATTACACTCCTTCAAAGCAGAATTCTGGAGGTAGGCTGAGATTCAACAGATCTGTTGGGTTCATGTATACTCTCAAAAAACATGCTGGACAGTTCTTTTTAATTGTACTGTGCTGTAAAACAGGATAAGGGATCCTTCGTTTCGTTCTTTTGCCGAAGGTTTTGCAGAAATGCGCCTTTTTAAGGCTCTCTGGAATGCCTACTGATGGAGAAAGCTCTACGCCATTGCATTGCCTCTGCACAGAAAAAGAATGTTTGCATTTTAGTTGATATTGTGCCTAAGCATTTGCACTAGTCAGTTCTATGCTTCAGTGGTCAAGTCTTGAAAATAATAATTCAAGTCTTGATGACTGCAGCAAGAGATACGGCCTTTATGGACATAAGCTGCATGCTTTCGGCAGCTGACTTCTCTGAAGGAATTTATGTAACTTCTGAATTCAGGTGACTGAAAATAATTAACAGATAAGCACTTTAAGACAAACTGACTTGAAAGGACCTTAGTAATATGGACAAGCAACATAAAGGAGTATCTTGAAGAGCTATTATTCTAGCTAAAAGACCTCATTATTTTTAGTATTTTGGTAAAAAGGGAGTGTGCTAAATTACCATTACTAATCAGCATAAGGAATAATTATGAGTAATCTCGTTTAGAACGAATATATGGCAGAATTGAGATTTGGAAAATATGAAATCTTGGTTTCTACCAGTGGCACACAGATCAGTGATGAGAATTTCAGTTCTTCACCTCAGTTTCTTTGCCTCTTAAGGTGGTACTTTCTTACCTCACAGAGCTGTTAAGTGAGATGGCAGTCAATTACTATAACTGTTAATGCACTTACTTTCTCATGGAACAAACAAGACAACAGTCCAAAAATCAATACACAAAATAAAACAAAACCAAAAAACAAAACCAAAAACATAGAAAAAGAATGTGGTGATTATATGCATGAGGATTTAATTAGGAAAACAAGACAAGAATGCTGAGTATAGCAAAACCCCAGTGTTTGGAGACAGTTTTATTTAGGAACCGACAGTTGAAGTGTAGAAAACTTATTCCTGAGATGAGCTACATGAAGAACACAGTGGCAGAGCATTCTCTGTCCTATTATCCTTTGATGGTACAAAATACTAGTGGTCAGTGTTACTGTATTACTGTTGATCAGAGTGGTTCGTTTGGTTTTTTTTACTGTCTTACAACATTGTGCTCCTGGTAACTAGTGCTGTTACTGGGTCTAATATCACAACAGTTTTAAAACAAAAACAATTATTGTATCAGCAAAACTTTTTCTTGAAAGCTTGGTGTTCTGTCAAGCAGTACTTTACCTCACTAGTGACTGGAAAACAGTACTGCATTATTCTATAAACTTCTGTATGCAAGAATTTTTTCCTGAAGGTGTAGCCCTCAAGTATTCTGATACATATCAGATGTAAAAGAAATTAATCTAAAATGCTCTGCCAGTCACGCCTCACAATTTTATTTTGAAGTGTTCATACCTATACAAATAATGTTTAATAAACATTCTGCTGCACTGCATATAAAATGTATTGTGTCTGTTCATTTTCTTTTAACGTCACACATGCCAGCAGTTGTTTCTTTAACAGGCGTGCCTGTTTCTTGCATGTAATACACCAGACAGAATAGGTGATGAACATGGTAAGCATGATGAAAATTAAATTTACTTGCCTGAAGGGTACCTAGTGTTGCCTTCTACAGGTTTTTCCCCAATGTGCAAGGTTAACAGTGAGACTCCTTGCCTCTTGCACCAGGAGTGCAAATAAGAACTCCACTGATCCCTACCTTTTCACGCCTGTTTCTTAATCCTCATTTCACAGAGCTAACAAGTTCTTAGAACTTTATGCACAAATGTTTTAAGTTCCACAAGGCACGCAGAGGATAAACCATTAAGGCTCCAGTTAAGAGTCTGCCAGATGTGAATGGTATATGCAGCTACTGCCAACAGAATACTTTTGGCCAAGGATTTTTATTTTTGGCCATACATAAAATCTGGCCAAGACAAATACAAGCAGTGGTCTCCTGTAATAAAATATGCAAAGTACATAGAGCTAAGAACACATCATATGCACCACTTTTATTGAAGTCTAAAATAAAATCTTTTATTTTATGATATTACTTAACGGTCTTCTAAAAGCAGAGAAGCAAAAGTATTTAAAATAAGACTTGCATCATCATTCAGGATTATTTTACAAAGTTATATTTTCAGCTTTTATAAAATAGTTATACAAAGACTATTTTTGACAACATACTCCAACATACAGCAGATTTAAAACATTTACATTTTACACGATCCAACAGTGCAATATGCACTTAAATTTAAGACTAACTTCCTGATCAACAATGTGTTGCAATTAATCTAAAATACGATTTACCACTCACTTGTGGATTGTTTGTTTTTTTTAAACAGGTCAGTTTCTGAAAGACTATCTTTACAGATTTTAACTTCAATCGGATGTAAGTTCCATACAGAGCGTTACTCTGTTTATTCAGGGCTCACGTGTGATGGTGTGTTGCCAGTTGTGTAGTATTTTGGAAAAAACGTTGAAGATCCTGCAGAAAGCCAAGCCAGCTGATGCCAGTAGATTACCACTACCAGAAGTCCTACAATCTTGCAAAGAGATCTACTGTGTCTACTGATACACCTTATGTTGCATCATCACAATAGCTAATTTCACGTTCTCTGACAATTTTTTAAGGAATGGAAGGATTAAAAAGTTGAGCTTTCACAAACAGAATGATGGAGAAAGAAGCAAAACCACTTGTAGTGATAAGACAAGGCATAACGATTTCAAACTGAAAGAGGGTGGATTTAGATTAGGTACTAGGAATAAACACTTTACTAGGAGGGTGGTGCAATGCTGGCAGAGGTTGCCCACAGAAGCTGTGGCAGCCCCTCCCTGGAAATGTCCAAGGCCAGGCTGGACTGGGCTTGGAGCAACCTGCCCATGCGGGGTGAGTGGAACTGGGTGGGCTTTAAGGTCCCTTCCAACCTAAACCATTCCACGATTCCAAAACAGCAAAGAAGCCTGCAGAAAAAACCTGATGCCGTTTTGGTCCTACATAAGAGATTTGTCTTAACACACCAGAACTCTGTAGTCTAGAGTAGAGCAAGTCACCTTTTAAAGTTTCATCCAGAGAAGCCGTGTCACATTAGCCACCATGAATTACTTTGCAATGCCATTTTCATGCAGCCTTACCCAGAACTGGTACTTCAGTATTCACGCTTCTATTACTGGAATATTCTTTTCATGGTAAGAATTACTATTTTAAAGGGCCTTTGAAAACAAGTGTTATGTGAAACATGAAGTTCACACCTGTTTGCAGTCCCTCTTCTAGTGTGGGAACTATGAGTGGTCTCACGATCTCCACAGATACCACTTTGATAAAAGGGTTCAAGAAGCACAGATCATAGTTCACAGATACAGCTGTACAGCACTTCCCTTCAAGCTCTTGCCTGCTTCATTTTCAATATATTTCATTAAAAGTTATCTGATTCATGTTCCTACTCTTGGCACACGAGTGGAGAGTATTTACTCCACTTCTTGGGCAAGAGACGCCCCAAAAATAGATGGAGCATGAGTCTTTACTTTCAAAATTTAAGTTGATAAAGCACTTTGAAACGCCTCTAATAGTTCACTCTAAGTATATAGAGTGTAAAAACATCTGCTAAGACTTACACCAGTGAAGTATATTAACAGAAATCTCTTCCTAGTAGTTTAAAGGAGAGTGGTTATTCTCTATTTCCTCTAAGTCATATTCAAGACAGTTATCTTGGGCTTTGGTAACCAATGGTATTTTAAACAGGGCAATGGAAATCTTACTCCACAACACAAATATAACAAAAAATTATAGGCAGGATCTCATTTATTTAAAAATATTCCGAGTACCCAAGTACCTCCTTTTTTCTGTAGTGCAGGGTTGGTTTTGGGGTGTGTGGATGGGTTTTGTTTTTTTTTTTATCTTGTAGTTTTCAGATAGGGAAGAGGGGAACAACAAGGTTGTTCATTAAACCCCAAATGAAACATTCAAGGACAGAGTGACTGATGAATACACAAAAAGTGTGAAGCTGGAACTGGTCTAGTCTGCGGCAGTTTAAGTTTCTTGGTAGCAGCCAGTAAATCTCGTTTGAAAGCTTTCTAGGAAGTTACAGGGAAAAGTTAGTGTTTGAGGTTCATGGGCACATGGCCATTAGCATACTTCGTACCACATAACTGTCTGAAGAATGTGTAGGTCCTGAAGTGAGATGCCAAAGAAAAATATGAATCCATTAGCATAAAATAAAGATCACTGACAGAGTCACAGCAAGGTGCCCACACTGCACTTCTTTTGTTCCATACACAGCTGACCAGATGAAAAGTGCAGTCCTGTCCAGCCATTTTTCAGGAAGATACCACAGAAGGATGTGAAGTTTCAGCAAGACTCTCTCAACCGGAATATGTCGAGGTACTGTGTCACACACATAGAACACAAATTTATCTTACTGCCTACTCTGAAAAAGTACCAGAGAATGGGTTGACCATAGGCACAAGATTTGAAGATACCAGCTTAAGCATCAGCTACTGACTCTATAATAAAAGTCACTTTTTTAAAAAGAGTAGTGGCAATTAATTGTGGAATGGTATTTTTGTGGGGTTTTTGTTAAATCTTACTCTGTAAGAAAGATAAAATTATGAGAACATAGTTTCAACTGACAACTGTAAACCTGGCATTAAAAGGTCAAGTGTACTATGCATCCTATAAATGCTTTAAGACATTTAAAAGTTAGATATCCCCAAATGCCCATTTTAGGGCTGTAAAACATACAGTGAAACTCCTCATCTGTTAGTTCAAACTACATTTTTTTCACTTCAGCATTAATTGAAAAAAAAAAAAAGCCTATCAAAATAGAAGAAAGTGCAAAACTTCAGAGACAGATTTATACCTTAATTTATATCTCAATCTTGCATTAAGATTGCCTGTCTCAGGCACAGCCAGAGATTACACGATCCAAAGAAATATCCTTGTACTGGGAACATTGCCCATAAAGGCAAGTCACACATCAGGATGCGTTTTCTCTGCGTTCCAGATGCTTTCTGCATTCTGTGGTTTCCCCTTTATCTAATGCTGTGTTGTTATGCGTCTATGAATAACAGCTGCCCAGGGCTTTCTGTTGCTAAGGCTGAAGGTCTCCTTGATTATCAACATTTATAATATTCGCTGGGTTTATTCCATTTTCTATTTGTTTCTGATGCGATGCTGCTGTGACAAACAAATGAGAAGATTCCATGGTAGAATGGTGACTGACATCTGCTTTCACTAGAACTTCATAATACAGGAGATAAAAAACTGGTGTTACTATGCCAATGATCAACATAATCACTACAGCGGTCCACCATCCTATACCCCAATCTGCTCCATAGTAAGGATCCTTGCATTTTTTAGTTTTGCCATCGCTTTCAAAGCATATCTGTTGGCCTGCTAAGGCAGAAACAACTTCATTAAGATTCTCTCTCTTCGTATCATTACACTTGACTATTTCTTCTATATCTCGATCCACTTCTTTTAAGAAGTTGCCAGCAGTCTCATTAGCAGGGAATTTATCAGCTGATGTTTCCTGCACTTCTGGAGAAAAATGAGCAGGCCGAATGACTGGTCTTCCTTTTGGAGAGACATGTGTTTCAGTCAATACACTGAACTTTTTCACTGGAATTTTGACAGACCTCAGGGCAAAAAAATCTTGATCATTGATAAGATTGTTAACTCTCTTGATATCTGCAACCTAAAAATAAAAACAACAGTTTAAATACCAAAGCCCCATTGAACCAAAACTCTTTAAGCATCCTACCTTGAGTACTACTACATATATCCTTGAGAAATATAATTCTTCTCTAATGAAACAAAGGCAGGGCCTTGGTTTTGTTTTACACTTTTTTTTTTGAAACCGATACCCACTCAAACAGTGTGAAGTACAGAGAGGTCAAAGACCAAATCTGAACAATGTTAAAGCAAGAAGGTAATTATGAGGTAATAAACCCCCTCACTTCAGATAAGAAGACTAAAAGTCACTTTATGCACACACATCCACATAATGTATATTTATCTATCGGTGGCTACCTTCTCTGTGAAACGAACGGGACTCCACTTCAGTGTTTCCAAATGAGCAAGTTCCTAATTAAATTAAAAACTTCTGAGCTTCCAATTCATCTAGCCACAGCTGTAGTTCGGATACTCTTTCTGCTTCTGGGGGCTAAAGCAGAAAGCCATTCTTAAAACTCATCTTCCCTCATCAAGTCAGCTCTCCCCTTTCCCTATTCTTGCTCTGAGTAAGTTCAGATTTTAAGTCTAACACGAAATACCCTCACAGAATTAACGGCTGCATTCTGAGACACAAACTCCCTCAAAGAGGAAGGCATAGCCACAAACCTCACCACAATGAAGTGTTTAAAAATCAGTTCTTTGTATTAACACCTGCTAAGCATAGAGGAACTGTGCCTGTTTTAAGATGCACAGCCGCACCTGACCTCAGATCCTTCCTGTTGTCACGGGGCATCCACCTCAAGAGAAGTTAAGACAGAAAACAAGGTATTCAAGAGACCTTTGTTGCTTTAACTGCTCCATCTACAACACGGATATGGACAGAGAAAGTAAGCTGAGGCGATCAGCACCTGCTGACTGCACTAACCTCATTATGTGAAAGTGTTTCGGTTCCTGTGGCAGTGTATTTTTAGGTGTACAACGCTGAATGAATCAGGTGAGCATCAAAACTGCCAAATGCAGCATTTACCCCAGCGATCTGTGATTCCACCACAACGCCAGTTATGATTCTGCCTAAAGTGCCGGACTTATCTCACACACTCTCCATGAATTTCCAAGAGAGAATGCAACTCAGTTACCTTTCATTTCTTATTTGAGGCCTGATCCAGTAAGCATGCTCAGAATAACTAATTGGGTTCTGAAGCCAAGAATTGCTTAATAAGGCTGAGGTCTGTCATGATTACTAGTTATGTCCAAACTCTGGTACCTAAGCTCACAGCAGGAGGTCCCTAATTTTGCTTCTCCTCGAGCAATTAGATGACAGTAAGACTTCTGTAAATATAGATTTCCGAATCTGACCTCTTGAAAACAGTCATTCCACCAAGACACAGAGCTGGCCTCCTGTTAAAACCGTTAGCAAAGGGTGACGTTACCCAAGACAGAGGCCTCTGCGTTAATGAGCACTGACCAGCCAGCAGCAGCGGGCAGGAAGGAAATCCACCGCACTCACTCAGGAACTTTCTCCAGGAGAAGTGGTGAGGCCTGAGCACCAGAAGAGAACGCTGGGGCCATGTGGGCACAGAGCTCCCAGCAGCACGACAAGCCTCTACAGGGAAATCCTTGGGAAACTGGGCAGAGTTCGTTTAAAATAAAGGGAGGCTTTTTCTTTTTTTTTTATTTTCTCTACTGGAAACGAGCTGTGAATGCTATTCAGCAACATCCTCCTCATCACGAACTGACCGTGAGCCCAACCTTCACCACAACGGGCACACCTCGAGGCGCAGCACCGTGAGCAACACCGCCCGTCTCCTGCACCTACGCCAGGCCCCGGTGAAAAACCCCACGGAGAGGGAACCCCAGGGCGTCACACCGACCCTGTGCCATCA